CCTGCCGGTGTCCCCCCGCGTCCCTGCCGGCATGTCCCCTCACCCTGCGGTGTTCCCTTGCAGACGGAGTGGTGCTGGTGGATCCCGAGTACCTGAAGGAGAGAAAAGGTAACGGCTCCCTGCGGGGTCCCTCGTGCCTGGGGCCGTGGAGGCGGCACCACCGCAGGGGACGGCCGGTGTCCCCGCGCGGTCCTGCCCTGGCGTTGGCATCTCTGGGCCCTCGGGTGACGTTTTTCCAGCCCCCTGTCCCCGCGGTGGGTCCCCTGTCCTGCAGAGGATGGGGGTCCTGTGGTGGGCACCTCAAGGTGCGTCTGGCTGGTCCCCGGGCTGCGTCCCCATCTCCCCACTGTGGCACCTCCTGGGAGCCACCACCGCTTCCCGGTGCTGGTGGAACCGGGACGAGCCATGATGCCACCGTGCCGTGATGCCACCACGCCGTGATGCCACCACACCATGATGCCACCCTCCCACCAACCTCCGCCCCTTGCCACCCTCCCCAGTCTTCGTGACGTTGACCTGCGCCTTCCGCTACGGCCGTGAGGACCTGGACGTGCTGGGGCTGACCTTCCGCAAGGACCTCTTCGTGGCCAACGCCCAGGCCTTCCCCCCGGTCCCCGAGGAGAAGAAGCCCCTGACGCGGCTGCAGGAGCGGCTGATCAAGAAGCTGGGCGAGCACGCCTACCCCTTCACCTTCGAGGTAGGGTGGCAGCGGGTGGCGATGCTCCTGGGTGCTCTTCCCTTGCTGCTGGAGGGGACGGTGTGTGTCCCCTGGGGACACTGAGGTCCCCTCCGGCCCCGTAAGGTCCCGGCTGGGGATGAGATGCTGTCACCCATGATGAAAATGCAGCTGGATTTTAGGGAAAATGCAGTGGATCTTAAAACTCGGGAGGAAAAAGCAGCCACCAGTGGGGAAACTGAGGCATGGGGCGCATGCCAGCACAGGGGGCCCATGCCCTGAGCATGCCCGGGGCAGTGACACCATCCTGGGGTGCTCCCCCAAAGCGAAGCAGAACCTAGGCAGCTCCCTTGGGGAACGGGGTGGGGGTAGACCCCCTCCTTGGTGCACCCGCACCCCCAATTTCCCCGTCGCAGCTTTGGTGATGGCAGCTGCCCCCCCCCCCACCCCCCCCCGGCCCGGAGCCACCCGGGCTCGCCAGCCAGCTCAGGGTGCCGACGTTGTTGCCTGCT